AATTCATTATCTGATCAGAGGGCACGTTTTGTCTTCTCGGCGAATCTGACCGGAATGCCGTTGACAGGCTGATTTATATGGTTCAAGCCACTGCTTCACAAACCTGATGGCACAGCGTCCTCAGCCATTCAAAAACCGTCTCATTTTTAGCCTTAGTGCTTATGCTCTTCTATAAACAAAACAGTTGCCATGGAGCTGCTAGCAAAAAACAACAATTTCATATCATGTGCAACTTCAGATCGGCTTTGGCAAATTATATAACTGAGCTTGAGAACTATCCAACAGGTGAACAGAGTTTCAAAGCTAAGTTTACAGTATTGTTTCTAAGTTTTGCCTTTTTACGCTGTCGATTTGACTCACGGCGAAAACATTGTAAAAGTTAACCGCATTTTATGGTTTCGTTGAGGTGTCCGCTGACCAAAAAAATACTGTATCATGCCTTAAAAAACGTATTTCCGAGGTGTCAGTATACATGGGTACAGACAAACTATCAGGGAGACTTGATAAAATTCTGAGGGGAGGGGGTGGGGGCATTCAATGACAATGTCACCATAAGCTGTTTAGTTTACTCTACAGTTAACCTTCATGCAACAGTAGTTCATGCTTTCACTCAATATTTCAATCTCTTTCAATGGCTACTGCTATCAAAGCACTTTCCAAAGGCCAAAAAACTCTCAACAACTGCCAGTTAATCAACAAAATGAAGAATAGCATGGGAAAAGGTATAACACCACACTTGACAAAAAAAATTTGAGCAAGTAAGTTATCTTGTTCAAGAAGAAAACATTTCTCTTTGACACCAAAGAAATGGCTGTTCAAGGTGTTGCACTAATAACACCTTGCATGTTTTGTTTCGCAGACATTCTTCCGCTAAACATTGTTTTTTCATTCCTCTGGCCTGTATATTTTGATCATGTATGTCCATGTATTTATATGTAATTTTGATAAGCCTTTTCCCCCCCCCCTAAAATAAAACTGCTGTACCCTTCAAAAAACAGGTGCTATACTAAACCCCTTCTTCCCCTCAACAGCCACCTCCCAACAAGGGGCCATTCTTTGCTCTGTTCTGCAGGTGTCCATTGTGGAAGGGTTCCACTGTAATTGTGATAAGTTCTACAATTAGTGCACATGTTGGTGTAGAGTCTTGTCTGAATTCAATAATTGCTGAGTTTTCCTTTTCTTACCTGTTGCCGTTCTAGATGTTCAATGGGAGTCTCTGGTCCAGAACATAGAGCATAAAGAAGCTGGGGAAGAACTGCCTCTGTAAAAAAATTGCAAATTAAAATATATAACTTGAAGCTATAAACTTTTATCTTTTAATCAATCTTTTTCTCCAGGTTACTATACTTGATGCTACAGGTCTAGTTTTACATCTAATATGTAAATCTGCAATCACAATTTAGAAAGACATTTTGACTACAATTTGTCATCACTTTTGACTTAGTAACTGTTGAATTATGTGATGATTGTTATAATAGTAGAGTGAAGCAAGCAGCAGCTTTGCTTAAATGGGGATTTTTCTGTGGTAACAATCAATCATTTTCACTCTTACATGACGATAAAATAAATAAAAAACTATTCAGTGAATAAGGTCAAGAAATTGTAATGTTATAGGAGACAGGTAGAGAAGACACTCCTTCAAATCTTAGACTTTTTTGTTTTTCCAAACTTCAGATATTTGTCAAAATGTTTTGTGCAAATGTACAGAGCCCAGTAACTCTTTGGTGCACCAATATGGCAGCCAGCATATAATATAGACATCTGGAACTTACTTTGGCTATCTAGTCAACTGATTATCTGAACTGAGCCAACAAATAATAACACAAGTACTTTTCCTAACACTTAAACTCCTAAATAGGGCCAAAAATCACTAAATAAGATAAGTGTATATTTTTTGACAGACACAATCAGAGCTGTATGTTATGTGATGCCATGACTGTGAACTCTTAACTGCATTGGTTTCCAAACCAAGCATGTTACTGAGCTGAAAAGTTGAAAACAGCTATGAATTTAAACCCCTTTATGCTTGATGAGGATAAATATTTTCATGGCTCTTTAGTTTTAAATTTCGGAATTTCATGATGTGACCTGGAAATGATCTATAGACTCATTTTAAGCTTCAAATAATGGAGTGATTATCGCTGACAAGGTGAGCCATGTGTTACCTACAAAATGTAATCATTGTTACCAAGAGTCAGGGCCTATGGTTTGACCAATAATAGCTGACCTCATCTTGTCTGAGGCTCTCTACATCACATGAACCTATAGATCTTAATTTTACATTGATGTATTCCTCTATTACAAATAACTTGCCACTATGTCCAAGGCTTAAGTCTTAACTATTTAACTCCCACAAGTGATTATCATGTAACTTCTTCTTATAATATTTGTACATTATGCAACAAAAAGGTGATGAGAATTTTCAAACTTAACAGATTGAAGCTGTTGTCATGATCTAACAACAAATTCTCAATAACTGCTTTACAAGGAAATGTATAGCAGTTTGAGGGGAGAGTTAACAATCAGATCTTGATATGTTAAGGGTTAAATGAATACTTAATCTAACATGACAGTCTCTTACCAAGTTCTAAGGCAAATTCGTAAAATGTCTTAAGTTTTCCAACAAGTGGCACCACTGCTCTCCATGCAACCTCTTGGAGCTCTTCATTGAGGGCATTGGAAATTGCCTGAAGTATCAAATTTTATAAAAATGAAATATACCACAGATATAGGGATTTTAATAACTTCTGGAGAGAGCATCAATGCTTTATCATCTCCAAAAAAATCTCTTGGATGAAACTACTAGCATTTGTTGATTTAATAGTATAGAAAAATTCATTATCTGATCAGAGAATTCTGTGTTGAATTGCACAGAAAAAGCAATATCACACGAATCAAAAAGCAATGAGTGCCATATCAGTTTTTTAGTACAATTTAACTCAGAATTAACAACTTACAATTCCAAGATTCAATTTTGCAATTTGATCAGAAACTCTCAAAATTAAAGCACTCACTTGTCTTATTTCTTCTCCAGCCCCTGGGTAACCCTGTAACTCCTGCAGAATTTGAGGCGCAACATCTAGCACACTGTGAACTACATCAAACACTTCTTTTTCTGATTCTGTAGGGGTAGCATCTAAAATTGATACAAAATAAGATAACTTTGAACCTTCATGATTAATATAGCTCCTTTACGCTCTTCGAGTTACACACAAATAGTTGAAATAGCATATTGAAGGATAAAAATTGGGTTTTATGTTGATTGAAAGACCACAATACCAGTAAGAAGAAAATTCCCCAAAATATTTCAGCTATTTTGTAAATAGAAATATTTTTATGATTGATTGCCTGGAAGGGGTAGAGAGAGAGGGGGGGGGGGCTTTGGAAGATTTTGGTTGTCTCACAATAAAATTAACCTCACCCCTAGGATTTTGTAGTATTCTCAAAATTTTATTGATACCTTGTCATTGTCCGTCAATTTTAAATTTTATTTGTTCCCCTATAGACTCATTTTACTCTGTTAGAAATGCCTGATTCCCCCCTCCCATTTCCCCCAAAAATTGTGCGGTTTCCCGAAATCTCCATCCCCAAAGGTGATACAGAACTCATGGTGAACCTATGGATATTAAATGACAATCATTTTAATGACCAAACCTACTTTCAAAATCCAAGAATATGTCAATTTTACTACCACAGCCATCATTTTCTTCTTTTGTTAGGAGCTTGAGGAGATTCCCCATAACAGGATGTTCGTCATCAACTACAGCTGTGAACAGCAATAACATTAGATGTCTGCACAGGATTTAAAATCAAGACCCTATTATCAATTGTCACATTGTGCTATGGTCTTAGGCTTGGTATTTCACTTTGACTCAAATGAAAAAACATTGGAAGCAAAAAATAACTTCCACAATAGTTAAAAGGATGTAACAAAAGTCAAGTAGTGCACAACAAAATCGACTTTCTACTGTTGATGTTCTCTTATAAAAACACAAGAAAGCTTTGAATTTGACACTATTGTTTCATATAAACTGAACACCCTGTCATTCTGCTTTTGGAATGCTTTCCTTTCCTTTATATATATAATAGAAAAACCAATGCAAATAACTTAGAGCTTTGTTTTGAATACATGACCCATTAATTACACTTAAAAATGTTTCCAGTCAAAAATATTTCTGGGAAAAGATTCCAAAGGGAGAGAATTACACATAAGTGTTCTTACTAATATTAAGCATAAGACCTAAAGGAAAAGGAAGTTATCTTTAGAATCTTGTAATTATTGATATCTAATTGGTGTATTTTAATTAGTTTTTGTCCACTAAAAGTGAAAAGAGAGTACTTAATTCCCCTAAGAATTACAATAAATTGCTCAATGTGGTCCCTCCCTATTCCAAGATTGACAGAGTAAGAAGCTGTCTCTAAAATTAGGTCTTAATGCTCAGGGATGTCAAACCATATCATATGGAGGCAGTATTTTATCACAATTATCACTAAATCAATTTATACTGTCTCGTGTGTGCCTAGATCCTCATTTAAAAAAATCGTCCCTCTACTCACATCAAAAACTTTTAGCCCTGTCACAAGTCTGATATCAACATTAGGATAAAACTGATAAGATTTCATGTCACAGGTGTGTAATAAATATGTTTATTTTTCTTTTCTATTTGTAAATGAAGTCAGTCATTTCCTACAATAGATGTTCCATTAACAAATGAACGAAATGATTTTATCTTAGTGTATATACAAGATTAAAATGCCACATAAAATAATTCTTCTGTTCATGTACAGTAAATGCAATATAGCAAGTTTTAGTGGTATTATTAAGTGATTTTTGTTCCTCAACTCTGAGAGGTTCAAAGTGGATGATATGCCAGGAAATGACTACACAAACCAAGCACTAGACGAAATAATTAAATATGCTCATTTAAATTGACAATTTTACGTGCATATGCAGATAACCCTTAAGTGAAAACGAAACAATAGCCAACGATTCCACATTAATATTTGAAATTGGAGTTATGAACAAAAATTGTTAATCCTTGTGAGTCAGGAAATTTGATTAGTTTCAAAATGAAAAATGTACAAAGAATAAACTCGTTCTTGATTTTAAAATCATACGCGAACCTTACAAACATCATGTAATTAAACGATCTCCGAGGTGAACGATCTCGATTCATGTCAATAAATTTGTACATACATCAAGGCCTCCAACGCCCAATAAAATGAATAATATAGGTTGACGATCTTAGATTTAACGAGGAAGTAAATGAAGGCGTGGACAGAAAGACCCCAACGAATATTAAATCAATCGAATAAGAAAGCATCTTCGCAGTTACGAGACCGATAACAATGTACTGTAAGAGTGAACTCACGCTCATGTTTCGAGACTGCGAAGGTTAGGAAGGACGTACACGTTTAGAACAGAAATGATTTCTATCGCTTAACAAGTAAGCTTGTCCAAATTTCTCTAGATATAGACATTTCTCTACTGTTCTTGAGTCAATAAACAAGCAAGTTGAGTATCACGGTATGTGGCGTGAACACGAGTATACATGAAATCGAACAATCTCAAAATCGTAACCAGTTACGCTTTCCACCATCACATTGTGATCTGGAGTAAAAACAGCCAAAGAAAACTGCGAACACTTGAGGGAGGAAGTAACCCGATCAAATGGGAGTAAATTTTATGTTTTCAATGTGCAGGAAAACGGTTAGAAATCATGAGCAATAGTTTATCGACACTTACCTCACCCCAACCGGAAAAGGAAACGGACAACCACAACTTGTCAGGGAACAGAGGGTCCCTAACTCGTACAAAATGCGATTTAAACCTCTCTTTCGCCGCCAAAGTTAAAGAAACGTTCACAAAAGCAACAAAAAAAAGCACTTTCCTTTCTTGGAAGTCGGCGGAAAGGACTGCTGGTTTGAACTCTTCCTTGTTGCTCTATGATGCCTCAAGGGTAGTGAATGGCACATTTCCACGCCCTCCTAGCCCATAATACTAAAGGGCTGTTTTGAAACTAGGACCCATATTTAGTTCAATCTTCGTGTACGGGTCCATTACATTTCATCCCCAAATATGGTAAAAAAATGGCGCGAAAAGAGGAGGAAGCATCTCAGAAGATGCGTGAGACTGAGGCCTAAGAAATGTAGCATGGCGACCTTGCTGGCTCGGACTTTTGTACGAACATTCTTCTTTCCTAAAACCCCTAATTTGACATTTATACTGAAGAGAACACACCGCTACACGAGCACAGCTTCGTCGAAACTCCATGTGAACGGAGTCGACATTCATTTCGAAGTTGCTGGTGAAGGGAGCCATGTTGTCTTATGTATGCCTGGTGCTCTTGGTTCAACGCAAAGTGATTTTGGTCCGCAGCTAAAGCGACTTAAGGATGAGTTTACAGTTATAGCTTTTGATCCTCGAGGATATGGAAAATCGACTCCTCCAAAACGGGATTTTCCAATTGATTTTTTTGAAAGAGATGCAAGTGATGCTGTTTCCCTAATGGAGGCACTTGGTGAGTTAATTTGTACATCTTACCTACGTGCCTAGTATGTGTAATCAAATGGTGTACGGTCTTTTCGTCCAAGAGTCTTTTCGGCTTATGTGCGGTGTAAAACGCACCAGTGACGTCACAGTTTAAAATGCACCAGTGACGTCAGAGACCCTAACCTCAGATATTGATTGAAAACTCAAGGTAAGGGTCTAGGGGTCTCTGGGTCTTGTGGGGTCTCTGGGTCTTATGGGGTCTCTGGGTCTTTGGGTCTCTGGTCCTGTGGGGTCTCTGGGTCTTGTGGGGCCTTTGGTTCTCTGGGGTCTCTGGTCTTGTGGGGTCTTTGGGTCTCTGGTTGTCTGAGGTCTCTGGGTCTTTGGAACTCTGGCACTTATAGTATGAAGGTTTGCCGAGTGATCCCTATTTTTCAAATATTATTTGCACTTATAGTGTAAACTATGTGCATTGATTTTGTATCCTTTCACGCTTCATTTACACAGCTTCCACAAAAAACCTCGGAGCAGATTTTCAATGACAGCAACACCTTTATTTCAATTTAACAATTACTGAAAATAGTAATAAGCTTGTACCTGAAATGAAAGTTGCACCACAGCAGTAACTTTATGTCTTAATCATGGAATCTGTAACTGGACAAATACTGACATTTTTCTTGGCGTTTGTGTCTCTAATTGAAAACTTTGTGGAAGATTATCGAAGTGTCATTGACAACATGCATTTACAGGCAATGTTACAGGTCAGATTACAGGTTAGGCATCTTACACAACGGTCAAATGTGTAAGAAATGCAACATTCATGATTCTTGTTCGGCTTTGAGTAGAAACACTTTGCAAGTTCCTTTTGCTTTAGAAAATAGGGAGAGTTATTCTCCGATTGCAGGTTTGGTCACTTCATTCCAAGGAATTTTACAGTTTTGGGCTTCTTGAATAATGGATTGAACGGTGACAATTTCGTTTGAGGCCATGATTTGACTATGATACCAGCTAGCACAGCGTGGCTATGCTTTGAAATGTTATGCAAATAACTCGGCTAATTGCGTAAGTAACCCAACAAAGCTTGATCTATTTTTTATGTGTTCATTGACACCTTAGCAAATGACATTCTGTGAAAACACCAGTAATTAGAGAGAGATAATTAACATAACATAACTCATTTGATGAATTCATGCAGCTATTACTTTTGTCCTCCAAGCTCTTCATTTCTCTTCTCATTATTCCCCACTTGCAAAAAAAGGATTACATTTAGAGGAGGATGTAGTGAATTGTGTTACTTTACCTAGTACGTGACTGGATTCAGTTGTTTTGAAATATGAACCTTTGTGCTTAAACCTATCAACATCGCAGTGGCATATTACCAGATATCCTCTCACACAAAAAGTCACCACGGGATAACTTGAACAGCGCCATCTTTATTTATAAGGGAGTAATCCCACCACTGTGGTCAACCTTAGAAAAGTTGCTTTTCAAGGAATGCACATTTCATCTAACCGCCATGGATGCTCCAGGCCTCAATCTACTAGAAAAAATGTACAACTGCGCTATCAAAGACTATTCTAGCAATTTAGTCTCCATTCCGTGTACAAATTCCGCCAAACCTGACATTATTCCCAGAGAGCGTAGCTCCAAAGAGATTCAGAGAATGTTATCTTGGATGCAGAAAGAAGACAGGGTCTTTACAGTCATCTTTAAAAGCCAAATAAAGTTAGACTTTGAGGGGTGAGAGCACTATAACTACTCTCGAAGCTGAACAATAATATAGCAAAATTTACCAACGGAAATTAAATCAGTTGAGACCAATCAATTAATTGGTGCATTTTTTAAAATTAAGCTGTTTCAGTTTTGGAAAATGAATTAATTTCATTGGTCATATTTGACGTTAGGGGTTTTGTTGTTCATGGTAAACGTAGTTTGTTTGCATGATCATTGTGAAAGATATTGTGGTCGGTGATTCTTAATTAATTACCAAATAAAGTTAGACTTTGAGAGGTGAGAGCTCTATAACAGTACTCTCAAAGCCGAACAAGAATCATGAATGTTGCATTTCTTACACATTTGACGGTTGTGTAAGATGTATAACCTGTAATCTGACCTGTAACGTTGCCTAAAAATGCATGTTGTCAATGACACTTCAATGATCTTCCACAAATTTTTCAAATAGAGACACAAACGCCAAGACAAATGTTAGTATTTGTCCCTTTACAGATTCGTCAATTAAGACATAAAGTTACTGTTGTGGTGCAACTTTCATTTCAGGTACAAGCTTATTAGTAGTTTCAATAATTGTTAAATTGAAATAAAGTTGTTGCTGTTATTGAAAATCCACTCCAAGGTTTTTTTTTAAATTTAATTTTACATAGTTTACGCTTTAAGTGCAAATAATATTTGAAAAATAGGGATCACTCGGCAAACCTTCATATTATAAGGGCCAGAGTCCCAAAGACCCAGAGACCTCAGACAACCAGAGACCCAAAGACCCCACAAGACCAGAGAACCAAAGGCCCCACAAGACCCAGAGACCCCACAGAACCAGAGACCCAAAGACCCCACAAGACCCAGAGACCTCAGACAACCAGAGACCCAAAGACCCCACAAGACCAGAGACCCCAGAGAACCAAAGGCCCCACAAGACCCAGAGACCCCACAAGACCCAGAGACCTCAGAGGCCCCGAGACCCTTACCTTGAGTTTTCAATTAATATCTGAGGTTAGGGTCTCCGACGTCACAGGTGCATTTTAAACTGTGACATCACTGGTGTGTTTTACACCGCACATAAGCTGTCTTTTCGTCCGAGTCTTTTCGTCCAAAAGTTTTTTCACCTAAGTCTGTTCGTTTACTTGTTAAGTCTTTTCTCGAAGCAAATAAATAACTTTTAAAAGGCTAGATTTATAAGGCTATAGAAAGAACTTGTCGCAAGCCGCCACCATTTTGGTACCGATACCTTTAGTCACCAATCTTCGTTTACGAATTCAACGTCATGAATTTTACAATAAATACATAGAGAATGAATGAAGTTGTATCGCAATATACTTTATTAAATAGTGGCAAAAGTAAAGACTTCCTTGCCGTTTAATTATTTCACGCAAAAGAAATGGGAATATTAGGCTTGTTGTTAAGTGTCTATTGCATGTCTATTGAGCATAAAAGGGCAACGAAGTGTAACATCACTACGTGAATGGCTTGCAACAAGTTCTTTCTATAGCCTTATCTAGCCTTCTAAAAGTTATTTATTTGCTTTGAGAAAAGACTTAACAAGTAAAAGAACAGACTTAGGTGAAAATACTTTTGGACGAAAAGACTTGGACAAAAAGACTTTTGGATGAAAAGACTTCTGGACGAAAAGACCGTAATTCAATCAAATGAAGTTTGGATTTTGGTCGAGGGTCGAGGGTTGAGGGTAAAATGTCGAGGGTCCGAGAAAAATGTCGAGGGTCCATAAAAAACTAAAAATTGTAAATTTTAAAAAAATTAAATGTCACAGGAAACTCTGACATGTTGTGACTTATTGATTTTGTATCCTTTCACGCTTCATTTACACAGCTTCCACAAATGCACCCAATGCTTAAGAGAAAACCATATTTTGATGGACGAATTGCTTAGTCATGCTTTCCACAAAGTGAACCTTGACCTTGATCAGCCGGCATCTATTTATTTGTGGTTGCAGGTGCATTTGTGGAAGCTGTGTAAATGAAGCGTGAAAGGATACAAAAACAATAAGTCACAACATGTCAGAGTTTCCTCTGACATTTAATTTTTTTAAAATTTACGATTTTTATTCTTTTATGGACCCTCGACATTTAACCCTTGACCCTTGACCCTCGACCCTCGACCAAAACCCAAACTCAATCAAATGGAGATGAGTGAAATTAGGAAATAATTTCACGTGCCTTTTGTCAAAAACAAACCATGGCAATTTTGTAATTTCACATGTGAAATTACGAAAATATTAAATTAAAAGGAAATGACAAAACACAAGTGAAGTTATTTCCTAATTTCAGGAGAAAACCATTTATTACTTTTTAATATTGTGGGTGACAAATTACGTTCACAACCGTAATTGTTTTTACTGGTGTATTCTATTGAAAACCGAGAACATGAAGAAGAATATAGTTTTTGTTTAAAGCCTACATTATTGTTAAAGTTCGTAATTTTCTGAGTTTCTTCACAAAAAATACCTTTCAAATTCTTAATGCCTGTTAATAATTTTCGGCCGCTCCTTTTAATTTCATAACTTCTTCAAGGGTGACCATCTTAAATCTCATCGCCATCTTGGCTCTGATCGAGATACAAGAGATGTTACCATGGCAATTTTGTAATTTCACATGTGAAATTAAAAATTAATGCTGAAATTTTGCGCCAAAATTGAGTAGTAATTTGTCACCTATAATATTACAATGATAATGGCTTTCAAATCTATTATGACGTCTGTGACAGTATAATTCGCAAATAATTCCAGTGCCAAAAGTTTAAAAACTATACACTCAGAGCCTGACAGGTATCTATAACAAGCCCAGATGGGTGTTGTTACACAATTTGTTTGAATGGAAATGAATAGCTGTCATTGAGAAATCATCACATGACTGATTTGTGTCAAGTAAGTCTGGAAAACTTTCTCATCCTTTCAGGCCACTCTAAATATTCACTCTTAGGATGGAGTGATGGGGGAATAACTGCCATGATATTGGCTGCTGCTCATCCTGAGAGTATCCATCGTTTGGTAGTTTGGGGAGCCAACGCCACTGTAACAGCCAAAGATATTGAGCTGTATGAAGTAATCAGAGACACATCAAAATGGAGCCCAAAGATGAGAGAGCCTTTAGAGGGTGAGACATCTTTAAACATACCATATGGATATTCTTAATCCATGCCTTGAAAGGGTTCCTTAGTTTGCAGTTGATTTTTTTCTGAATTACTGAAAACGTCCTTCATTTGTATGCAAGGAAAACCTGTTTGGTAGTTTGAAAGGTTTCTACACAGTCTTGCATTCTTGGAAGAGTACAAGAATTTACAGAATATAGTCAAGACATCAAAAATCAATGATACAGAGGTAAATTCATGAAAATCTGTAAGAACTCTGAATTTTTTTAAGCTAAGACTGGTGCTTAATTTGATGACTGGGTGAGATATTTTGTAACGTTGCTGAATTGACATAAATTACCGCAACCTTTCATTTACCGATTCACATAATTTTCAATGTGATATACCTGATGAAGTAAAGTTTAGAAAATAAAAATACGGTCTTGAAATAAAGTTGAAACAGCATTTTAAATTGTATATACAACAATGTGTATAAACTGTAACACAGCAAATGAGGCAAACACCAAAGAGATAAAAACAGAGAAAATCAGTCACATGTCTTTAAGGGTGGAAGATATTAACGTAGATTGCACCATGTGTTCCCAAGGTATGCATCATGTTTACACAAGTTTTTTACACAATATCCAAAGCATTTTGAGAAAAAAATTGACATATTATGGGTTCTCAACCCATAACTCAAATTTTGTGTTGGTCTAAGCAGATAACATTTACCAGTACTTACCGTAATCAGGTTTCCCTGGTAACTCAATGATACTCATTTATACTTTTCACTGGGAAGGGGCAGTGTAAGGGTGAAGTGCCCTCTAAGGATGTAACCTAGTGGCGTAGTCATGGCTCATGCCCAACCCTCACAACCTTGAGTCTGCCTTGCTAAAGTAAGGCCATCATATCTCCCATGGAGCTTATTGTTACAATGACAACTGCTCATATCTTTTATTAGCCCCACACTTTTGTTCCTACTTGTAGATCTGATCAGTCATTAAAAAAAAGGCTACGTCTGCATTTGAGTGAAATGGCTCATCAGCAGGAACTTATCCCAGTTTCAGTAGCAGGAATAGCCTGCTTGCCGTCAGTAGTTTGTGTTTTCAAGTGTGAAATTCAGTGCAGCGAATATTTGGTTGCCCTACTGGACAGTTGGAAGAGCTGGGATGAGTGACAAAGTGAGGGGAAAGGAGAGATAACCAATAGGACAACTGAATATTCACCACACTGAATCTTGTGCATGAAACACAAACTACCACCTGCAAGTGGGCTTTAGAAATAAGCAACCAGGAGTACTGCTGCTGCCCCTTGATTGTGTGCCAGTCCATTGCAGGATACCCCCCCCCCCCTTAGCATTTCATCAGGCTTCCCTGACAGGTGGCTGATACTCATTTATACTCCTGAGTGGGGGAGGGACTGAAAGTTAAGTGTCTTTCGCAAGAACACAACACAACAATGTGGCCAGGTCTCAAATGCTCACCTCTCCACACTGAGTCTAGTGTGCTGAGCATTAGGCCATGCCTTCTTCCACATGTTCAATGTGTGACATTACCTTTTTATTTTGTTTCAGTTCTAAAAAGTATTCAGTACCAGTTGCAAAATGACTTTACTCTATTCACAAAAGTCATGATTTAGAGTTTTGATGCAATCTCTTTTGGTTTCATTTTAGCCTTGTATGGAAAAGAAGGACTCCAAGAGATGAACAGTGGCTGGGTAGATGGCATTACTCGATTCTATACTGACAGGGGTGGTGACATTTGTACCAGTGCTGTCAAGAAGATTGATTGCCCCACCCTGGTAGTACATGGGCAGAAGGACCCCCTGGTGCCACAATTTCACCCCGAGTATCTACATGCCAACATTAAGGGTGCCAAGTTGCATGTCATGCCTGAAGGAAGACACAACCTTCATCTTCGATTTGCTGACGAATTTAACACACTTGTCAGTGCATTTTTGAAAGGCGGATCAAAAACTTAAACCCTTTTTCGATTAGGACCCATTGTTGTCTGCGAAAATTCATTTTTTTCGTAGTAAGCTTTGGATTCTGTGGTAAACTCAGCTTTGGCCAACTTGTCACGTAATTGGATAGCAACGGTATGTTACAATAACAGCGTAAAACCGAAGACGAACTAAAAGAAACAGAAAAAAACCGTGAAACACATGGATGAGGAAAGGTTAAACAGTTTTAATTCAAATGAACGCAGAAAACCTGAAGTGATAGTTGAGCTCCATCTATTTTTATCGAAGTTTTAATTATAATGAAAGAAGAGAAGCTTAAAAAGTTCATTCTTCTGTAATGTGTAAATGAAGGAGACTACTTTAAGCTTCCAACATTATATCTACAGGTTTATACCTTAGTAGAGGAGACAATGATTTATGCTAAACACATTCTTACTCAATGAATTACAGCACAGAATACGGTGATGTTTCGAGTATTATTGATTTCCTTAAAGTAAATTTTTAGATGTGACATTTTCTGCGGTAAGTTCATTTTTTCGTTGTCCAGTACAGGCTATAGGAGACAAAAACAGAGATGTTTCAGTCGTGTGAAGAGAAAGTTAACTTAGAGGGAAGGTAAATGGAAAAAGAGAAAGAGGAGTAGCAACAAGGCAATGGGAAAGGTCCAGACATACTGAGATGCATTCAACAAAACCACAACAGAAACTGGAAGGTTAGAGTTAGACACCGGTTGAGAAGTATAGTTCAAGTTGTGACGGTTAGTGGGATAAGCAAATTAGAGAGGCAGGGTTTAGTTCAGGAAGCTTCCTCGCTGTCAAACCATCAAAGTTAAGTAAGTATTACCTTCTGTCATTCTGAGTTTTTTTTACGTTATAAAACCATTAAGCCAAATAATCGTGAGGAGCTTCATACCCTAAGGGTAATTTTGAATGGGGTGTCGTAAGTTTTCAGGGATTCCGTTTTTTTCCCCTATCATTGCTCAGGGATCAGTTCAGAAAGCTACAGCCAACCTCTTAACCATCAAGTCTACGGTGTAAAACTACGTCGCGACCCTATTATCCCCGTTTTCCCGCGCTTGAGGCAGCTAACATGTTTTCACTTTGAGTTAGCTCCTCAGCTCTTATTGGCTGAAAACCAACGGTTTCAGGTTGGATTCCTTAGGGGACTCAGACTTTTAGTTTGTCCCATGTTTGTGACAAAATGAAAAAAAAAACATCTTTATTTGCTCAAGATTCGTTTTAAGGACGCTCAATCGAATAGTGCTCTTAAGTTAGCCTACCCTCGAAAATGGCACACAAAGACGACTAAACACCACACATCAGTCGAGTGACATTTCCTGAAATTTATTAAGACATGCGGGTCGAGATGCTTAATAATATGTAGTATTCATTGCTCTATTTCATGCTGTCAGAGATTTATCTGTGGAGTTCTTTACATTAGCTTTCAATTTATTCCGACTAATTAACCACCAACACGTAAGGTTTTTAATCTGTAACCTTTTACAAGTCTTGCATAGACTGCGAACATTGAAATCGTTAAGAACTCCGTTTGCTGTTGTCTTACTCGCCATTGCTGACTTTCGAAAAGTTTAGGGGAACAGGAATTTCCTGCACTTTCGACTCGCATCCTCGGTTGCTTGGCCAATTTCCAAATGTGGATAAGACATGTTTCAAAACGGCCTTGTAACCTGCTCGGTATCGCTGGCTCACCACTACACACGTGACTGGATGCACAAACGGGTCAGCTGTGGACAACGCAAACGCCAAGAGATCAAAATAAGTGCTGCGCCAATTGAAATGATAAATGAGGACCACTCGAATCTGAAAATAAATAAAAAGAAAAAACGGTGATCATGAGTTGAACGATGTCCACTGATCACTCAGAAAATCAAGTATAAATTATAGGAACTAATTATTATGAAATCGATCATCGCAGTAATGAACACTGCTTGAGCAGAAGTGGAAATAAGGCCTGGAAAAAATTCAAGCCTGTACAGGATGACCTTTGCGATACCTGTGCAGTGCTCTACCAACTGAGCTAACAAGCCAACTGAAAGTTGGTCACCAGCTATGTTGGTTCACACCAACATACTAACATGTATTCACAGATATAGGCACTATCTTGAAAAATGTGGCTCAAAGTTTTTAAGTCCATAAAATGCAATTCTTGCAACTTTTTTCCCGTGTCCCTATGGTTTTTTAATCTCATTTTTGTGCGTTTTCATCCAGCTCAATTTTGATATCTCTTTCACACCAGGAGAAATTGTATCAGTGATACTCAAATACTTTGACGTATATTATGGTAGCAAGAGAAGGATAGACATGTCAGTAGATTTAGGATACTGACTTCGTCGACTTTCAATTATTTGTGGTCTTCTATGGCTTTGCATTAGTAGATTCAGAAGCGAGATTGTTCAACGATTTAAAACTAATTAAGGTTAATTTTCTCTCTGACTAAGGTCTAACCCTCGAAACGTCAGATTTGAAACATTTTGCGGTGGCCAATTGACATTATAAACTCGGTGGATAAAAGCAAGATTACCTTGTTGTACTCTCCCACCGACGCAGCGACACAGTTTGTTTAGAAACTTACCCTCCCCCCTTATTTAATTTGTAATTACAAGAATTGCCAATCGACATATGCGTTGTTAAACCTACGATTTCCGAAGACTAGCCTAGTGAATAGGGTATACATAGTTAGGAAAGAGGCTTAGATGGGTCGTACTTTTGTGCCGGCGCCCGTTCGTTCGCACGTTACGCTGTTGTAAAGTGGGTTATATGCTGCGTGTAGTTAGAAAGGATGACAAGTTTTAAAACTACTTACCACAATGGGCAGCCAGCAGAGAGAGTAAAAGAGAGCCATCAGACCTGTCAGCTTTGACAGAATGATGGATTCCTGTTCTGCGCCAAACTGAGCTCTGATCTCCACTCCAACTGACCGGTTCATTTTCTTCAAAGCTTTTAAGACTGATAGGTTCATAATTAGCATTAGAAGGATACAGAGTGAAAAATTGCTGACAAAGGCATGTACTACCACTGCTTCTCGTAAACTTTGCGAATAAAGCGAGTACAAACAAATAGTGACTGGTTGCTTTGTGAGTTCGACTGTGTTTAATATGACAGGGAGACTCGCTAGTGCACCTGCATGTATGAAGATACACACAGTTGCTACCACAATTTTGCGAACTTCTAAGAGTTGCTCGTAGTAGAAAGGAAAACACATTGCGATACACCTTTCCGCAGACATCACCAATGTTATCATAACTGTCATAGTCCCGAAGAATAGCAGACATAACATGCTCACTGAACAACCAACTTTCCCCGCAGGCCATTCACCTGTCAGTAAAGCAACCGCTGTCCAGGTGTACCCGGTAAGCGCCAGAAGAATTCCCATGAGTGCTTGAAGGCCCATTAGTAAATCATTATACTTTTTCCTGTTTAATGACACTTTTTTAAATACAAGCAAATAATAGGCGGCTATGGAGTTTACCAATACTGTCACGATTGTATGAAGGATCGTGCAAACTCCAAGGATGAAATTTTGTTCAATTTTGTAGTCTCTGCTATGGTCATCCGATTGGGTTTCCATGTCTCAGCGATCAAGTCTCTATTCTCTGTGATGTTCCTGAAAAATTTAAAACATTACAGTTGATATCACTAATTGTGTAAATAGTGAAAAAATGCAAAATTGTCATAGCTTAGATTTCTATTGTAGAGATTAAATTTCACGTTGAAAACAAAACATTTGAAATGAAAGCTATGTTCGCGAATTCGAAGATCAAAAGTTAACATTAAAGTAACATTAAAAGTTGAATAGTAAACATTCTCGTTTTTTGGGTCCTCAGAACTTGAGACTGACTGAAGGCCACGACCTCGTACTATTTTATTTTTGATACAAACTATCGTCTTATCTAGAGCTTTATGTGATGAAACATACGAAATGGCTCGTTTTGTTTTTCTACGCAGTTTTCCTTTTCCGCGAGATGCTTAAGTAATAGCTGTCAAGAAAGTTTTTCTCGCCATAAATGTTAATGTTGAATTTACCACATTGCACCACTGACCTTTGGTTAAGAGCCGTGAATGTCGATGTAAACCGAAAGGTTTAGATAGGATTTGAGAAGGAGCTGTTTTCACGGACTCTGTCTACGTTAAAAGCACTTAAAGCGAGCCGCATCATACTGCCACCTGTAAATCAATGCATCTCTGCTTTTGTTCAAAAGTGTACAAAAGTACGCAAAAGACACTGGCTATCTGGTTATGAATAAAAGAAGTAAAATCCTGAATTGTGTTTAGGAGATTAACAAAAATGATTAGAGTGAATACGTCACACGGTCGATAATTTCGAACGGCCTCTAAATGTAAAGAAACGAAATTACTCCTGGATTAAAGTTGCAATTATTGACTCGGGTAGGTTGAAGAATATTTTTCTTTTCTTTCATTTTCAGAAGATATGAACGTGATAAAAATATTGAATGCTGACCAAGGCACACGAGAAAAGTAGTAGGTTTAGACTGAGGAAAAGGTGAATTGCGCACGAAATAGGATGATGTTGCCCTGCTTAAAAATTGACTAAAATTATTATCGCGAAATTGAAAGCAGACGATGTTACGATGGAATTAAGATATCAAAATTCCGACCATCATTTCGTGTAAAATACAGTCTTTCTTTCCATCAAAATTACCCGCTAATAGAACGTTTATTGACAATGCATGTTTCTTTTCAACAACATATCACCAAAGAAGTTCATAATCAGATTGGATTTCCCAGATGCTTCGCAGTTTTGCACCTTTGAATATTTCGAAACTTCAAAACAATTTTTTTTCTATAGGTGTCATTCAAATGGGACAATTTCTTTAGTTTGAGCCTTTCTGTTGTCTTCGCTGCTACATTTTCACAGATGCTTTTAAAGCATGATCGGCTCTTTTCAAGTCGAAGTATGTTTTGAAAATTGTGATTAAAAACTGAAAGATCTCTCAAGACTGGGTAAGAAACGACTGAAACCCAAATGGGAATTTGTGAATGATTCGATAGGGAAATACAGAACAGATAGTAATAGTAATAGTAATCAAAGTTTAATGTCTTTACGTGGGGCATGGTTACCCATACTGCCCGAGCCAGAGGCTCATGTATGAAACGCAAGACA